TATATTTATAAATTTATAAATTTTTATTAATATTTTTGACGTAATAAGTTGCTAATTTTATAATAAAATACACACCCTGTTTTAAAAAAATGTTCCTTAACAGCATATATGTATAATTTTAAAAATCTTAATTCATCTGAAGCAAAAAAAAGAATTTTTTAATTTAATCTGCGTTTTTAATCTGTTTTTTTTATAAGAAAAATATTTTAGGAAATAATGTTCGAATTTTGTTCTTCTCATTAAAAAAGTATAAATTTTAAACATTTTTACTTGAATCTGAAATAGGTAATAAAAAATACTTTTTAAATTATGCAAGGAAAATATGAAATCGAGCAGTACTGCAGTTGTGTATTAAATATTATATATATCTTCTAAATGTAGAAGACGTAATTATTTATATATAATGATTATATTTGGTAACACAACAATCGTTCCTTTTGTAATAATATCCAGACAGAACGATTTCTGATTATTTTCTCAAATCAGATATTTTATTGTTGTTATTGTTGTTGTTGTTGTTATCATTGTACAGAATATATTTCAATTCCGTGGTACGTCGCTCTCTATAATTGTAAATATGTAGAATGTGAACGATTATTCCGACAATTGCGTTGATTAATCGACTTGAGAGATTTTATTTATACATAAAAACCGTTAGTGATCGATTTCTAGGCCGAAAAATACCAATGTTCTTGTTTGGCGAGCCTAATTGTACGGACTTGAAGAAAATGTCCGTCCACAAGTGCAATGTACTAAGTGTATTTAAAAATTAGTATATATAGTTATGTTAGTTACTAAAGAAGTTTAGTTTGGATTATAATCTCCAGTAATAATTAGGGCGAGACATGACGGAACCGACTTTAGTTTTTTGAATGTAAATGAATTATTAAGCAATTTGTTAACATCCAGTGAATTTTATTTATTTGAATATATTGGAAATTAATTATAATTGTTTGACCCTTTGGTGATGCTAAAAGATACTTTACGCAGGTTTTAATTTTTTAATTTATTGAATAGGTGTTTAGATGTGTCATTCGTATTCATGATCAGTCGCTGTGTTCTTAAAAATAATACACAAATATCTTTTATATAATATTATAATATAAAAACATCACAGTTAATCTTAAATGTGATCAAGTGTGTAGTGAAACTCATAAGTCAGATTCATAGAAATGCGGTTTATGTCTTTCAAATATCATACTACGAATTGCATGACTAACATAATTGTATTATCCATTATTATACAAGTATAATAATATCCATTATTATATGAGTATAATAACATTTATTATTATATGAGTCTAATAATATCGCGATTATTATACTCGATATCGTTAATTTCTAACAGCGTGTCTGCGATTATGTATTGTGATTTATAACTGCAATTATCGACTGAAAATAAAAGTAGTAGTTATGTAAAAAAGCGCCCAATAATGCGATGTTGCAATATCAATGGATTATGGAAAATATAAGCTATAACATCACGTTGTATTTTCAAAGGACATAACAGAATCTACACATGATATTTATTCAATTTTTGAAGATACACGTATCTTGGACCATGATCATATTATAACAAATAATGTTATGTAGAAAAATATCGAAAATTCTATGTATACAGTATTTATCGGTATATACCAAGCCAAGTCGAAATGTAAGTCTACAATTATAAGCTTATATCTTGAAATCATATAAGCTTATGTCTCCAAATATACAAATTATATTCAATCAATAAGTTTGTGACGTTGATATAATTCTTATATCTTATTTAATAATAAAATGTCTGAATAAATAATATTATACTGTAATTATATATGCATTCTCCAGATATGATCGTGTAAAACATGAATTTAGGATTTAATTATGTTTTCTAAAAAATTGATTTATGTCATAAAAGCTCATTGATAAAAAAAATTATTACTAAAAAAACGTGCAATAAAGGTAGTGCACAATTGTAGTTTTAAAGCTACAATACTTTATACAATTGCGGGAAAATCAGACTTTCTACTATTCGCATCATATGATTTAAAATATTATTTTATTCATTACTACAAAATATTGACAATTATACAGATATAAATAAAAATTAATATTATGTTTAAATGTAGACACTTTTTATCAAAATTTGATAAAGTTGCAATATTTACAATTGTTATTGTAAAAAGATTGGTTCTCCCATCTCAAATATTTATTATTATCATATCCCTCGTAAAATGTTATTAACTCACTGTAAATTTCTTTTGTAAACGCTTGAAGTACATTAAAGAGAGCAATAGAGAGAGTCTAATGTGCGTGACAAATACATCAAAATTTATGTTCTTTGTGAGTTTTTGAACTGCGCAATTCAGTTGTTTTATTTTTTTATTAATATGTATTGTTTTCTTATATTCTCATAGTTAAATCTAATTATATCCTTAGATTTAAAACAATAAATATATCAACAATAATATCTTGCTAACTAATACTAGTTTGCTCTCCAAGTAGTCTCATCGGATGACTGTAGCGCATAGTTATATTTGAGGATTCTTCAGTTTATTGACAGTTTATGCTAAATATTATTTACGCATTTTACCAAATGATATTTAATTTAGTTTCTGTATTTAAATTATTAACTCAAAGAAATATACTCTAAAGATATATGATACACTATTGCTAATATAATAGAGCAAAAATTCTTAAATAATGATATAGATTATTCTGTAAAATTTATATTAGTAAAATTTTAGCGAAATTATAAACGTCTTTGTCACGCAAATTTCCATTGCACCCAAAGGGAATTATTTAATTCAAGATTTTAAGAAAGATTTTAACGTTCTATATTAATTTGGAAAATAAATATTAAAATTTTCATATAACTTTAAATGATAAGCTTTGTGAGTTTTAATATAATTTTAATGTATGCTATATAAGATTTTGATTTGACATTATTTCTCTTTTTTTTCCTTCTAATCATCAAATTTCATGTAATATTAAAAATGAAAATATTATATATTGAGCAAGCTTTTCGTTGTTTTCGAAATTAACTCTTTTTTGAGTTAATTTACCAGATTTTAATGTTTAAAAAGCATTTTTAAAATTTAATTCAATTTAATTTAATTTAAGGACTTTTAATAAGTAATTTATACTGAAAAATTAATTTTTTTTAAATTTATATATTACTTTTTCAACATATACATTATTATGTCAATCTGATCTCAGATGATGTCGATAGAACTAAATAATTTCAATGATGTGTTCAAATTTGATGTACATTACAATGTACACAAAGTCTAAAAAGATTTAATCATCAATCAATTTATATCTGTATTTTTTATGTTGTATAAAATAATATGATAAATACGTTTTTATTTTTGTTATATATTAGAATTGATTATGGGGAAGACGATAATATTTCTTTGTTTTTATAGCATTTGTTAAAAATATGCAATTAATATTTTTAACCGCGATAATACGAGCTCTAAATATGATTAGCATTTATTATAGCCGTGAAAAAGGTTTACGATATAAAGATTCACGATATAAAGAAGAGAATGAAGAGATGATAACACATAGAGTATATCTGTTATTTATATTTAGAACCACTAACAATTTGTGTAACATTATCTACTTTATGCATTAGCAGCTAAAATAGAAGTAAAAAATTTCGTTGTTGTTGAGAAATGTCTTCCTTTCAACTATATTCCTAAAAAAAATTTATTATAAAATAAAAATAATAATTTGTTTTTAATATTATCCAAATTTATATTACAATTAATTTAGGAAAGAGTTGACTAAATTGTACCGACAATTAATCGTATCTATATTGGAATTTTTAAACAAAACTTTTTTTAGTGGGAAAACGCTAGTAACATTGCTAAAATATTGTTATCTTTGACCCGTTTACGAATGACATTCAAAATGATTTCCTTCGGTATTTGATATAAATCGTGCAATAATTTTTTCTAAGATGTGATCGGCACAAGGAGTAATTGAAGTTTAGTACACTATAGAGTTATAAGTATAGTATTTAAACTCTTTTTAAGTAAAATTAGCAAGTCACATTAGCAAAGTATTTGTGGGTTATGCTGCTGTTGGTAACATGGTAATATGGTAACTTTGTGTGTATAAAGGGAGTGGGATAAATCGTACGTTGACATTTATATTGTATCTACATTTAAGATAAAATAACATATTAAGATTGAGTATAATACTACATAATTATTATACTACTACCTTGATTTATATATAAAAAAAATTTATTTATATTAAGGTAACCTTTTTTAGATAAAAATTTAAGATAAAAATTATTTATAGATATTATTTGTTACATTTTGAGAAAATTTAGATCTTTCTTTGTAAAAGTGATTATTATGATTGTTTATCGTTAAAAGTACGATATAGGAACCCGACTAATATGATATAATTTAAAAACCTTCTCTTTCAATCGTAATTGTCCGATAGTTACTTTTCTACAACATTTAATTTAAACAATACTTCAATATTTATTTTCATAAAAATGTTGTTTTGTTACATACTAATAAATCAATAAAGTTTGA